ATTAATAGTGTGTGATCGCTTTCATGAACAACTAGCTAAGGAGAACAGGAAAAATGCTGAGCAGGCAAAAAATGCTTGTAAAGGAAGACATCTCACTAAGCCTAGCTAGTTACAACACTGACGGGTCCAGGTTAACGAGACCATCAACCCAAAAGTGATATCTCAGTTATTGGATAAATTGGTGGGCTGGAAAAAAAACTTAAACACACAGAATGACATAGAAAGATGTCATATTATGTGTAAAAAAGTGCTGCATTATACTTATAGTAGTAAATGTAGGCATGGAACAGCAGGTAGGATTAATGCACCACATCCCAGATTTAAACATATACATCCAAACAACAATTTTTAGGTACTTTTGAGGTGCTAAAGTAATTTGTACTTATTGCTGTCACCAAAGGTACAAAACCCCACTATTGGTTATATATATCTTATGCAATTCTATTATTACAAAGCTGTCATATTTAGTTTAAAATAGTAGGTAGTAGGGTAACACTGGATGCATGCCTCAGACGTTTGCATCTGCTTCATCAGGTTCCCCAGACAGTATATAAGTTTATGAACTCAATGTCTAAACATGCCAAATATCCAAGGCCCACCCTAAGTACAAGGGTGGCGGGGGTTATGGGGGGATAAGTGTGAGGGGTCCAGGAGTGGCAGAACTGATAAAATTGTATTAAATGGTCTTCCAAGATTGGGATTTCCTGGTAACGTAATCAATCACATGCTTATTTTGCATCCAGCATCACTTCACTGGATAAATTACTAGAGCTTAAAGCCATTGCATGAAATCTATGCATCACATAGGGCCCTCTGATAAAAATACAAAGAGAAACCCTGTGAAAACTTCTAAGACACAACAAACAGTCTCAAGGGTAGCCACCGCACTCTGTTTGAGGTAAATGCCCAGGTGCTCACCCACAAAGAAATTCATACAAATCCAAAATGGGTATAGAGGCACTCATGGGTCTTGCATGATACTGAGGGACTGAAGCGAATATCATAAAAAGGGAGAGACTCAATAAACTGGAGTAACATAAAGGAAGAAACTCTACAAGCCCAACATTGATTAAGACCAATTTCTTTGTAACTGCCCACCTTTTTATAGACCCCACCCAAAAAAGTGGAAGAATACCTACCACATGCTCACAGTGCTCATTATATTTGCATGAAGGAGCCTGTGTGAAAATCTGCCATGGGTGTTCTAGTCCATGTAGGGGTACCAGCTCATGGCCAGGCACAAGTATAAAAAAAAAGCAAGGTGCAGAACATGAATGTCAAGAGCTGCCCACCATAACAGCCACACATCACGTACACCACAGTTAAAACATTTCTAGGCTTTGTCCCTAATTCAACATGTTTGTTGAGTTTTGAGTATTCTTCTTCATGTGAGTTTTTAGTATTCTTCAGCTGATTGTGGCTTTCCCTAGATTGCCACTTCAAGGTGGTGCTTATGGTTGGTTTATCCCTTCACACCCACTTGAGTAGATTTCTTGAGCTTGAAATATCGTTTGAGTTGTTTTAATATTGTTCCTGTAAGCATTACACTTGCTAGTTTTCAGATTTTAAGCATTTAGAATAAAAATTTTCATTAGTTATTTGCCTGCTTCTTCTATATGCTAATTTATAGATGTAAATCCCAACTGCATACCATTTACTTTGCTAAATGCTGTATCATAAAAAACTGAAATGTTTTTTAAACAAAATACTGATTACAACTTTTTTTATCTTTTCTGAATAACTGTAATTTAAATCTCATGCACCAGGAAAATACACCAGCAATGAATGTTTGGTGAATCTCACAATGACTGTTTTATAAATATACCCCTTAAAGTGGAAGGAAAGCCAAAGACCTACATGCTCCCCCTGCGATCATTCATGTAAACCAAAATAATCGTTATGCTGCAATATTCCAAAATTGCTGGGTTTTTTTTTTCCTTTTTTAATTTTTGAGCAGCTGCGGGCTGCAGAGGACAATCGTTGTCAGTGAGAGATACGAGGGTTGATGAATAGCTACAATACATTACAGTACAACTTATAACATCCAAGTGAAAGATATAACACCAACATGTCAGAAAAAAAAAATTCTAAAATAATTCAAAAACAGAATCACTGAGTTGGAAAAAAGATCACCTCCCTCCTAAAAATGACTTGTAAACGCAATCAGGTGTAGCTAATCATCTTCTCAATGGCACACAAAGCCATTTGACTTTCAACTGTGATCAGCTGTGGTCATTTTGATTAGCTCAGCATGAAAAGAGCTTTCCTGGAGCATTTAAGTTCCCGTTAGTGCAACTGAAAAAAATCAACTATGGGTGGCAAGGCACTGTTAAAAGATCTCTGGCATAAAGTTGTGGACAGGCACAAATCAGAAGATGGATTAAAAAAATCAAAAGCACTGTGAAATCTATTTTTAAGAAGTGAAAGGTATTTGGTACACAGACCCTCCCTGGATCAGGATGTCGCTCCAAACTGGATGAAAGAGCAAGGAGGAAACTGGTCAGAGAGGCTACCAAGAGGCCTACAGCAACTCTGAAGCAGTTGCAGGAATTTATGACAAAGTGTGGTCATTGTGTGCATGTGACAACAATATCACACATTTTCTACAAATTTGGCTTGCATGGGAGAGTTGCAAGAAAAAAGCCAGTCCTCAGGAAAGGCCCTATGTAGTCATTACTGAGCTTTGCCAAAGTGCACCCAGAAGATTCTGAGGCCACATGGAAAAAAGGGTTATGGTCAGAGGAGACTAAAATTGAATGATTTGGTCCCAACATCAAACAATATATCTGGCGTAAATCCAATACAGCTCACCATCCAAATAACACCATTCCAACAGTAAAGCATGTAGGTGGTAATATCTTGTTATGGGGGTACTTCTCTACAACAGGGACTGGAGCACTTGTCAGGAGAAATGGAAAAATAGATGGTGTAAAATAATGTAAAATTCTTGAGGAAAATCTGCTGTCCTCTGTCAGAAAGTTGTCAATGGGAAGCAGGTTTACCTTCAAACATGACAATGACTCAAAGCACACAACAAAAATGACCACACAGTGGTTGAAGGAGAAAAAGGTGAATGTCTTTGCATGACCCAGACTTAAACCCCATTGAAAATGTATGGAATGACTTGAAGACTGCAGTCCAAAAATGGTCACCATCAAATTTAAATGAACTTGAGCAGTTCTGCAAAGAAGAGTGTGTAAATATTGCAAATTCTAGATGTGCAAAGGGGGTGATCTTTTTTCAACTCAGTGATTCTGTTTTTGAATTTTTTTTATTTTTTGCTGACATGTTGGTGTTAGCTTGACTAGTGTAGAATAGATGTCCCCCAAACTAAAACCAATAAGACATCCTTCCAACGCAGCTTTCCCACCTCTTACTTGTACAAATAACGGAGACCAAACCATAAAAATGGAGTAAAATGGCCATCACAGCCTTTTTTTTAACAATTCAACTTAAATAACACAAAAAATTACTTAAAAACAGAAACATAAACAGTAAAAGTTGTTGTTCTTAGAAAAAGCAAAACCAATACTGTTATTACCTTTGGAACCTTAACCATAATAATAAATAAGCCTCCAGCCGCAACACATTGGCTCGGAGACAAAACACACAATCCGCAGTGCACCACCTCCACCTTCCAGTTAAACCTTGGTTAACCAGAATGCACCAGAGGACACCATACCACCGATGGCTTCCAACCATTCACTTTAGCTTCAAATTTTGCCTCCTCCAAAGACCAACTGCCCAACTGCCATGACATATAAGGAACCAGACGTTCCAAAATAAAACACAGGGAGGGTGGGTCGGAAGTTTCTTCCTCCGTCTGCCACCCTGTATTGAAGACCTTGTGACCCTACACCACTCCCAAGGGTGCTCGAGGCCCCACCCTGCACCACGCCATCCCCAATCAGGTAAGCCTGCATATTTTAAAACCTTGCCAGTCTATCCTTAACCCTGTCCTGTCTGTACTCCCTTCTTCACACAGTCATGTCTGTGCGCTATTATTTTTTCTGCTACGGTCCTCGCTTTCACTTGGATGTTATAGGTTACACTGAGTAAATACAGCTGGATAAAACAAAAACTGTGTCTGTTTTCATTTCAGGCTGTAAAGCAACACATTGTGATTATTTTAAATGGGGCTGTTTCTTTTCTATACCCACTGTATAGTATCAATAGAAAATAAAAAACATCAAATGTTTAAACTGAGAAAATGTACCATTATAAGAAAAAATAAGGTAATTTGGAAAATGATGGCAGCAACACGTCTCAATAAAGTTGCGACAGGGCAACAAAAAGCTGGCAGAGTAAGTGGTACTAACAAGAGCTGGAAGAACATTTTACAATTAATTAGATTAATTAGCAACAGACCAGTAGCATGATTGGGTATAAAATAGAGCATCTTAGAGAGTCAAAGTGTCTCAGAAGTTAAGCTGGGCAGAGATACACCAATCTGTGAACAGCTGTGTCTAAAATTTGTCACACAGTTTCAGAACAATGTTTCTCCACGTAAAAGACTTTAAATATATCATTATGTACAGTACATAATATCATCTAAACCTCCAAAACTCTGCAAAAGCCTCTGTGCACAATGAACAAGGCAGACAGCACTGCATTAAAAACAGACATGATTCTTTGATGGACATCACTGCATGGGCTCAGAAATACTTCCAAAAATCACTATCTGAACACGGTTCACCATGCCATCCAAAAATGCAAGGCAAAGCCCTATCATGCAAAGAAGAAGCCATATCTGGACAATGTCCAAAAATTCCACCATCTTTTTTGGGCAAAAGCTCATTTAAAATGGTTTGTTGCTGTCACGTACCTGGTTGGGGAGCCTGATGTGGAGAGGAGGCGTCCTCTTACTACTCTCGTTCAGAGCCCCTGATAGTGGGGACAGAAGGCGATGAGCCAGGAATGGCACAAGTGCCTGGTGGGTCTTGAGACGACTGTAGGCAGGTGATGACCCAGAAGATCCGGATGCAGGTTAGGTGTGGATGCAGCAGCGTAGGTGCAGCAGCAGGTAGGTATGATGGCAACCAGGATACAGGCCAGGTGCAGATGCAGGAACGTAGGTGCAGCAGCAGGTAGGTATGGCGGTAACCAGGATACAGGCCAGGTGCAGATACAGGAATGTAGGTGCAGCAGCAGGTAGGTATGGTGGCAACCAGGATACAGGCCAGGTGCAGATACAGGAACATAGGTGCAGCAGTGTCAGACAAGCCGAGTCAGGATCAATCGGGCAGATCAGGTACAAGGGAGCAGGCAAGCAGATAGTCAGGGATAAGCCAGGTCATTGCAGGTGGAGTTCTTTCTTAGTCAGGGTCAGATCAGATACAGGCAACAGAATCAGGTTATGAAGCACAGGACGTTATAGACCAGAAGGCATAGGCTAAACTGTGTTGGTGATTTAAATAGCCTGCCTTGTGATGACGTGCACTCGCACCGCCGCGGCTGACAGGGATCTGGTGCCGGAGCATAGATGCGCGTCGGCGAGGGAACGATCCCTGACAGTTGCAAAGCAGAAAACTGTTCTGTGGTCAGATGAATCAAAATTTGACATTCTTTTTGGCAACACTGGGTGCCGCATCCTCTGAACTGTAGAGGTGAGGAACCTTTCAGCTTGTTATTAGCTCTCAGTTCAAATGCCTGCATCTCTGATAGTATAGGGATGCATTAATCAGTATGGAATGGGCAACTTGTATATCTAGAAAGGCACCATCAATTTTGAAGCTTACGTCCAGGTTTTAAAGCATGCATATGCTCAGGCAAGAATGGGACAACATTCCTCTCCCAGCAACTGGTCTCCTCATTTCTCAGATGTTTACAGAATATAAAAGTATGTAAAAGAAGAGGAGTTGCTACACCATTTTAAACAGGGCTCTGGAATTGGGGTTGTACTTTGTCAGCTCTTTCTTGCCCTGTCTCAACTTTTTTGAGACGTGTTGCTATCATCAATTTCAAAATGACTTTCTTTTTTTCTTAAAATTGTACATTTTTGTAAGGGGGGTTGTAGTTATAAAGCCATTTTTTTGGGGTTAGTAGCAAAGGGTTAAAACCCTTTTCAGGAATTTATTTTTTTGACCATCAGTTTTCCATGGGAAATATTTTTCTTCAGTTCCTGACTAGTAGACACAACAGGAAGTGACAGGAAATTTTCCCGAAGTGATGGAAATCCTCTGTTGGACACTGGCCACCACAAATAAGTTCCCAATTGAATGATTTTCCTTCTATTCCTGCTTTTGGGAAACAACACAAAATTTTTTTTTTTTGGACTATTTTTTTTAAGTCCTATCACCAAATACAAGTCTCCCTAGTGATGACAGAAAATTACAACTCTTCCTTGCTTTGTCCAAAACCTAAAATAATGTTTTGGCTATAAATACTTTAATTTATTGCATTTGCTAATTTTATGTATGCATTAAAAAACTCCCAAATACGGTAATTAGTACATGACTATATGACATAAACACTTGACATAGGTCCCTTTCTCCACTTCTTGTGTTGTTGTTTCTATACAGAGAAAATTGAAGCAGGTATAAAGAGTTCTAAATTGACCATCACAGGAAAGTTTCAGGAGTTAAAATGGAAGTAAATTTCCACTGGACACTTGTACCTACAGGTATGCGTATAATAATGCTTACCTGTAGATACAAGGACTATACATGCACTGTTTAGGAAATATTCAGTGCCCCTGCAGTCGATGACATCACCGGCGCTTGTGCTCTGAAGGAATGGCATACCCGTGCTGTTTCTTCAGAGCTCTGTGCCGTGGCCGAGACTTCCCGTGGCCAGAACCTGTGAACCCAGAAGGAAGACTGGGTGAAGATGGAAGCGTGACAGCGCACCGCTGGAGGGCTTCGTTCTAAGGTACGTCTTTCACAATGTGCATGCTAGCACGTTATGACATTATTTTTCAGGGGAATTTTTTTTTTTGTCAGTTTTTACCACTTTACATAAAGTTGAAAAACATCAACTTTAAAAATCTGCATCACATTTTACAGTGTTAAGCCCCAAATGTCAATTCCAACGTAACTCACAAGGGCTAGGTAATAAAATAAAATGATTGGTAATGACCACGATGACTTCTTAAAAAGAATTTTCCTTTCCTTTAGAGTAAGTATAAAGAGAGCGTGTTGGGATGAACATGCACATAATGCACATAATGGAACTGTCACTGTCTATCCTCCTACATAATATTCTAGCTACAATTTTAAACCGCTGCTAGAAAACTACAATATTTCTTTGTCCATAATGATATAACAGTGCTGTCCTCCTGTCTTATTCTGTCACCATATAGGTATATAGCACAGGATATATATAGATTCACTTAGCACAAATTACATTAGTGCCAGCAATTCCCAGGTGGTGAAAGCTGTAGACTGTTAGCTAATTGAGGGAAGGCCTGCAGCTGTTAATTCGGATTGTACCTGGAGGTATCTCTGTGGCAACAAGAAAAATATTGTCATTTTCTAAGGATTAAGGACTGTTCAGGTCTGAGAGTAGCAGCGGCAAGCACTGAGAAGGCTGTGCTGAAGTAAGTCGGGGAGGCTGGGAGTTGGCTAATTTGCTCTGTGAGTTCTTGGTCCCAACCAAACAGCTTGAAGAGTAGCTGAAAAGCTCTGATGACAAGGAAAAAGTCACCAGAAAACCAAACGGTGATAGAGAGACATTTTCTCTGAGTTACATGTCAGGATGTTGGCATTAACATAAACTGGAGAAACTGTAGAGATGTAGAGGCTTTATGATGAAGAAGCTTTATTTGACAGCTTACTTTCCATTCTTTTTGGGGCAATTAGGAAGCCTACTATAATATATATATATATATATATATATATATGGATTGTTACCAGAGTATAATACTCCAATCATCTGTTTATATTCTCTGTAGGGAATGTACAGGATTGTTCCTGTCAACAGATATTTTTTATTCTTTTACAGATGACCCTCCCCCCCTTCCCCAGGGCAATACGTGTCAAGTGTGTATCTGACCTCAAGGTCTCCCTAACAATCCATGTACAACTGCACCGTGTTTATTGCTAGTTCCATTTTGCCCTGGTGTGCAGAAAAAGAGCAATGCTGGGTACACAAAGGACAAATATCAACTGAAAATGGTCAGTTCAGGAGGAACCAGCCAACTTTCGACCTATGTGTTCAGCTCCTTGTCCTTCTCATGACTGGCGTCTGTCTAATGGGCATGTTGGAAAACCAGCATCTGAATCGCATGTGATCAATACTGGAGGGCAATAGCTTTGAGCACTGATCAGTGTGTCCTGGCAGGGGTGTGGGGGTCCATCTATAAGAATGCTATAGCACAGTGAGGGAGAGAGATCTCTGTACTAAAAATACCTGTTAGTACAGCGATCTTTCAGGGTTTATTTTGCTCAGCCCGCTGGTTTGAATGAAAAAAAACTTATAATGTGGCTGTCATTATCTGGGCTTTGATTGCGCTTTGATATGTGAGCAATTTAACATATAAACGGTTTTGATGAAAACTTGACCTGTTGCGTCTGCATCTCAGCAAGAGTTCTGTGCCTTGACAGTAACACAGAGGGTCTAATGACCCCATGATAGACTCTCAGCTGTTTTATGCTGGTATGAATTTGAACTCTTGTGCTACTCCCTTGGCTAAGTGTCCACAAGCCTATAAGCATAACAGAAGTCCAACTTGCCTTTGGTTGTGCTAAGTCCATTCAGAAAGAGAGCCAGAGTATTACTCCCAGCCTCTATAGGGTTCACAAGCTGTACACCTGTACTTGGATGTATTGTAAAACACAGTGAAAGCATCAGACAAAAAGGTATGACTTTGCTAAAATGTTTTTTTCTTACTTTGATCGCTTCCCCATGCTCTGCTCTCTTATGGAGCATCTATTCCCCATCCATATCTCTGACTTCAAGCCAACAACTGCATACACCTATTGGTGTTTTATTCAGGGATAGAATCCCTTACTCTGCCCCATTCACCTTTGTGGCATTCATCTGCCAGATTGGAACCATTGCAGACAACCAGTGCTACTTAGTGATATGAGGGAGCATGTGATCTCCTCCCAACAGCCAGCTGCCAAGCTTGATCACTACCATGTGAGGGACACCTTCAGCCCCGTGTCGGCTCCAACTCCTTTTGACATAGAGCTTACACAAGTTTTATTTCCTGAAAGAACAAAGCGGTGGGAGAGCTCCGGGAAGGTAAGTACAAGTGAGTTGTGGGTGAGATCCTATCACTTTGCCTGTTCTTTGTAAAGGGACAGACTCCCTTTGAGAACCAATATCAGGGAAGGATTTGTAACCAGTATTTCCTTGACACTACAAACTCTGTGTGTAAATATAAAATACGCATCTTTAATAAAAGAAAGGGGAAATAATAAATGGATTCTTCAATTCATTACTGAGCAAAAGGAATATCTGGACTTTCATTGAACTTTTATCATTATTTTTCACTATGCTCTGGAGATAATTAAATTGGCAGTGTAATAAGCAGAAAACTTGTAAAATTAAATTTGTATTTGAAGTTTACATGTTTCAGAGTTATTCCTGAAAATGAAAACATTTTAATGAGTCTGGAATGGCACAGCATGTGGATGCTAACTGGTAGTTGCAGGGTCAAAGGGCATGAAAGAACACAGAATTATTACAGGCATAAAGCAGAAATTTTACACAAAATTTATCCAAAAATACTCTTCTCTACAACACATTTCAACATGTGTCTTTTAAAATCTCACAAAGTATGCATCACTAAAGCCCCAGCTTTTTATATATATATATATATATATATATATATATACAGTATATATGTAATATGTATAATTAAGGATATTCTTCATGAGTTATGCTGTAACAGACATGACAGTTAAATTGGCATCTGCAGGAAATATCAAGTTTCTGAATATTTTATGCATGAAAATAATAATCACGCTGCGGGTTCCGGATGTTCTTCACACATTTGGGGCACTTTTAAGTGTGCAAAGGCCATGCGTTTAGATAATGACCCTCCACAAAATTGATTTTTTTTGTTTAACATATTTTGCTCCGCATTCATAAATACTCAATAAAATAACTGAATTAGAAGAAAAATGCATGCAGGCATGTGTGGACACTGCACTCTCTCTGTCTGTTTCTCTCTGTCTTATGTTTGCCAAAAATAATTTATCTATCTATCTATCTTTTATTTATATATCTTTATGTCTATCTATTGATATAGTGGGGAAAGTGCAGGACTGTTATTTACATGTTCAGGAAGTGTTTAAGCCAAAGGTATGCACACCAAAATCATTGCCACAGCCAATACCATTGTCATGGCCAAGAAATTTGTTGCATGGAAATGACTGTGTACACGATCTCTCATGAAGAGCAATGTAACATCTTTGTACCAACAT